ATTGGGATTTCTTCTTCTACAGATTGAATTGTTTACTTTCAGGCCATTCCTAAGGTATTTTGTTAAGTTGTTATTTTAATCTTCGAATTTATTTTTTCATAGTTTTAGAGATTTTATTTTTCAGCATTGTAAGTTTTATTGATTTTATGGTGAGTTTTGAAAGGATTATAACTTATCCTGCTACTGCTATAGTTGCCAAAGAAGTGATAGACCAACCTAATATCAACCTTCAATCCCTAAAATAAGTGATATTAAACCTTTTTAATGCTCCTACTGCCTTATTTGTTGCTCCAAGTACCAAACCTCAGTATTTTGTTTTCGGTTGTTGTAACCATATGTCTTCAACTATTGTTTATTTCTCTTCAATGTCACCAAATAATTCTTTTCCTAATATTTATTCTACTAATGGTTCTTCTATGAATGTTAGTCACATTGGTAATATTTCTACAAAGTCATTGACTTTACCAAATGCTCTCTTAGTTCCAAAACTTAGTTATAATCTTCTATTTGTTGGTCAATTATGTGATCTTGGCCTTGAAGTAACATTTTTCACTCATGGTTCTTGTGTGTAGGACTTATAGACAAGACAACTTCTTCGAACTGGTCGCAAGGTTAGGCACATGTTTGAGCGCAATTATCTGCATATTCCACATCATAAAATGGACACACCATCATTTCTAAATGATTGCTTCATCCAAACCTTGCTCTGTGCTATTGAATTATAGTCTCTACAAATTCCATATCAACAAATTTTGTAAGCCTATGCTGCTACTAATGTTTCACCTTTCCATTTGTGGCACCTCATGGCTCGGACATTCCTTAGTCGGTAAACTTCATCCACTTATCTCTTGTGGTATATTAGGATCAGTTTTGAATGAATCCTTGCATTGTGTGTTATGTCAATCTGCAAAGTAACCGGTTTTATCTTTTTCGAGTAGTCATTCTCATTCTACTGCTCCTTTTGATCTCGCGCATTTTGATGTTTAGGGTCCATCTCCTACACCCACCATTGGGGGTTCCAGGTACTTCGTGTTATTTATTGATGATCATACTTGTTTTACTTGGATATACCTTATAAAAAGTCGCTTTGAATTATCACATTTGTATTGATTTTGCTACCATGGTCAAAACTCAGTTCTTTAAAATTATCAAAGTTTTCAAAACTAACAATGCTATTAAATATCTTGGTACTAAACTTCAATCATTTCTGAAAGAATATAGTACATTGACACAACAATCTTGTCCTTACACTTTTGAACAAAATGGGCGAGCCGAACGCAAACACAAACACATCCTTGATTTTGTTCGTGCTCTGCTCATTTCATCTTCTTGTCTAGAGCGATTTTGGGGTGAAGCTGCTCTTACAGTTGCTTATCTTATTAATTGCATTCCATCATCAGTCCTTAATAACCAGTCTTCATACGAGTGTTTACATGCATTCTTCTTGCCTATAATTTTCTTAAGGTTTTGGTTGTGCATGTTTTGTTCTTCTTCCACCTCATGAACATAACAATTTAGAGCTTAGAGCTTGATTATGCTGTTTTTTGGGTTATGGGATTACACAAAAAGGATATCAATGTTGGGGTCTAGTGTTACAAAAACTCTGAGTTTCACGTCATGTTGTTTTTTGGGAACACATTATGTTCTCATTGTTGTCAAACTTCAAAGTGTCATCCTCTCATTAACCTTCATTTTTTACTAATCCTTCTATTGAGCTATTTCTTAGTAATTCTGATGCAGGTACATCTTATGAGCTCTACAATGCCTCACCACATGCTCCAACTAGTTCTGTAGAAGATGATGTGCCTGTTGGTAATGTATTAGATAATTTTGAGCCTTCTTCTACTTTCTCCTCTATATCACCTGTTGATGTTGCATCTGACATTGTTGAGTTTGCAAATGAGCTTGTTGTCCCATCTTCGAGTTATTCTACTCGGGTAAGAAACCTTCCCAACTACCTTTATGATTATCATTGTTGTCTTACTATTACTTCTTTACATGAGCCTCAATCCTATCAAGAGGCCTCTTCTAACCCTCTTTCGCAACAAGCTATGCAAGATGAATTACACACTGTTGACAACACTCGTACTTGGGATTTAGTTGATCTCTCTACTGAAAAGTCTCTAATAGGTTGTAAATGGGTATACAAGATCAAAACATGATCTGGTAATTTTGTGGAGCGTTATAAGGCACGCTTGGTTGTTAAGGGTTTTACATAAGAGTATGGAATAAACTATGAAGAAACATTTGCTCTAGTTGCTCGTCTCACATTTGTGTACAGTTTGCTATCGTTGCTATATGGAGATGGACATTGTTTTAGATGTATGTGAAAAAATGCTTTTCTTAATGGTGACTTAAAAGAAGAAGTTTATATGAAACCATCTCCTGGGCTCAACCATCCTCTAAACAAGGTATGCCGATTGCGACTTGCATTATACGGGTTCAAGCAATTCCTTTGAGCCTAGTATGCAAAGTTTAGTACTACTGTGAGTGAGTTTGGTTTTACTTTTAATCCACATGATATAGCTTTGTTCATTCATAAGATTGCTCGGGATATGGTTCTTTTACTTCTTTATGTTGACGACATGATTATTATTGGAAATGCTGTCACAGGTGTTGAAGAGCTAAAACAATCTCTCAATCAAAAATTTGAGATGAAAGATCTTGGTGTTCTGAGATATTTTCTAGGTCTTGAAGTCACCTTTTTAGATGATGGCTACCTGCTTTTTCAAGTAAAGTATGCCTCTGATCTTGTTTCTAAAGTTGAACTCAATGATGGTAAAAGTGTTTCTACACCTCTTGAACCTAATGTTAAGTTTATACCTATGGATGACTCTACTTTATGATCCTACTCGCCATTGGCAATGGGTTGGTAGTCTGGTTTATCTTACCACGACACACCTTAACATAATATATGCAGTTCACATTGTTAGTCAGTTTATGGTTGTTCATCGCTCCATTCATTATGCAACGGTACTTCACATTATTTACTATGTTAAGGGAACATTGTTTCATGGACACCATTTTTCTGCCAACTCTTCCCCTGTGCTTTGCGCTTACTTTGATGCTAATTGGGCTAGTGATCCTTCTGATTGTAAATCTACCACTGGTTACTGTCTTTTCCTTGGTAATTCTCTTATCTCTTGACGGAGTAAGAAACAAACTATTTCATCTCGCTCTAGTACTGAAGCTGAGTATAGAGCTCTCGGTGATACCACATCATAACTTCTTTCATTATGGTGGCTTCTTGAAGATATGGGCATTCCTCAACCTTCTTATACTAATTTATATTGTGATAATCAAAGCGCTATGTAGATTACTCATACTAATGTCTTCCATGAATGCACTAAACATATTGAGGTTGATTGTCACTTTGTTTGCCATCATGTTGCACAAGAAACTATTCATTTGGTTTTCATTGGCTCCACTGATCAACTAGCAAGAACCTCTTTACCAAGGCTCATTTTCCTAAACGTTTTCATACTCTTCTTTCCAAACTCAAGTTGATTTCACCAACTTGAGTTTGAGGGAAGATGTTAAGATGTGAACACAATTATTCATATTATATTCATAGTTATTGTAAATATTTTATACTTTAGAATATTTTCTTTATATACTTTATATCTTAAAATATTCCCTTTGTAAATACTTATATATAAATCATTATACATATAATATTATTCAAGAAACAATAAACCTTTCTTCAATATTTCATTCAAGAAACAATAAACCTTTCTTCAATATTTCTTCTCCTTTTCTATTTCTATCAAGTAGCATTCAAACTTAAGACGTGAACAACATTTTATGGGTGTTGAAGCGGACGAGGAGAAATTGTTTTCTCTAGTTCAAGCACGATCCCATCATTGGATGATAGGGAAATCAGGTCAGCCGCTATTTTCATTCACCGATTGGATCTCCACACCAGGGCGATGTGCAAAGACTACTTCAAAAGGGTAAAGGAAATTAATGGCAGGGAAGACAATTTACATGGGGTAAGAAATATTCGCTTTATGTCTTGGTTGGTAATGGTTATTCGCTTTCGCTTTATGTCTTGGTTGGTAATGGTTTTACCGATGAAGGGTATCATGACCAAGTTTCGATGATATAATGCAGATGGACGAGCATTCCTTATACTATATTTAATAATAATTTTTTTCTCTTCAAAAGGGAAATTCAAACTTCAGACATCATCTCTTTCTCATTTCATCCAGTCCTTTGTGGTCACTCCTTGGATAAATATTTTAGGTATATCCCCATACATTATTTACATTTATTTCTACACCTAACTTAAGGTTCACTTATTAACATTTGGGAAATGATAACTTAATATTATCATTAAAAATGAATTTACTTATTAATATTTTTTCATGTGAGTGGATAAAATAAAATTATTACTACCATTCATTTAGATAGAAAAAGAAAAAGTGAAAATCAAATTATCATGATATTTTTGATATTAGTACTTTACGTGAAATTATTCAAAAACTTTTAGGTTTGATTTAGGAACACATATTTAAATTTGAGGTATGTATTTCAAAAACATATGTTGTGAAATAAATTTTTTGAATTA